AGCAGCGTGGCCTAGTGGCTAAAGTCCTCGCCTTGAACACACCAGGATGCAATATGGGTGCCGGTTCTAATCCCGGCAGCTCCACTTCCCATCCAACTCCCTGCTTGTGGCCTGGGACAGCAGTTGAGGACAGCCCAATGCTTTGGGATCCTGCACCCACTTGGGAGACCAGAAAGAGGTTTCTGGTTCCCGGCTTTGGATTGGCATAGCATCGGCCGTTGCGGTCATTTGGGGAGTGAATCTCCAGATGGACGATCTTCCTCTCTGTCTCTCCCCTCTCTGTATATCTGACTTTGTAATAAAAATAAATCTTAAAAAAAATACTGGATTAAAATACCAGACTATCACTGCAGACCTTGTAATATTATTTTTATAAGGATGCTAAGTAATCTTCATTTTGTGAAATGCACTATAGAATGTGTTTTGATATCTATAATTTTTACATGAAGATTGTATCTATTTATTATTAAAAGATAGGCAAATAGACCTCTCTTCTCCATTTTATCACTCCCCAGAATGTTGATAGCAATTAAGGGTAAAACGGGGAGCCATGAGCTTACACTATCTCTTCTATGTGAGCGGCAAGGAGCCAATTACATAAATCATCATTTGCTCCTTCCCAGGCTGCACATTGTTAAATCAGGAGCACGCAGTGAAATCAGAAGTGACTCTGATGTAGGCGTTCTGATACCAGTGTCCAAGTAGCATCTTCATTAGGCAAAAGGCCTGCCTGCACCTGTCTGTAGATTTTATATCCTGCAACTTTATTGAAGTCATTCATTAGTTCTGTTAGCTTTTTGGTGATTACTTAATAGAAGTTCATTTAACTCATAATTTTGAGAGTTCAAGATTATGAGGGTATCAAGAGCATGATACCAGCATCTGGTATCTGATGAGGACCAATTTGTTTGCATCATAGCATTACAGTAGAAACATGTGGGAAGGAAAGATTACACAGTAGGACAAGTGGTCGGGGTCCAAGGAATGCCTAGTTTTCTTTTTTCTAATGGGCCAGCACCAATGCCTTACAATGATGATGGTTTTATGGCCTAATTATTCACACTAAGTCTCACCTATAATACTCCACTACCTTAATATGACCACGTTGAAGGACAAACTTCCAGCAGTTGAAACTTTAGGAAACATACTTAATCAAATCAGCCAGTCTAGGACTTTTAAAATTATGTGTTTATTTATTTGAAAGAATAGAAAGAGATAGAAAGTCACAATGAGTCTCCCACCAACTAGTTTATTCTCAAATGTCTGCAATACTTGGAAGTCAGCTGGCACAAAGCTGAGAGCTGGGAACTCAATCCAGTTCTCCTTGGGAGTATCAGGGACTTAATCATTTGAGTCAGTAGCACACCTCCCATGGTCTGCGTTATCAAAAAGCTGAAGCCAGGTGCTGTGATAAGTCATGTGGATTTTCTAAAGAATATCTTAACCACTAGGCTAAAATCTGTCCCAAGTCTTTTGATTGGAAAATTCAATTCATTCCTGTTAGGTATTTACTACTGCCATTTTATAGACTTAGCCCACCATACCAAGGTATCAACGCCTAAGTGTATGATTTCTGTTAAGAAATCAGCTAATAGGGGCCCGGCGCAGTGGCGCAGTGATTAAGGTCCTCACCTTGCACACCCAGGATCCCATATGGGTGCCGGTTCTAATCCCGGCAGCTCCGCTTCTCTTCCAGCTCCCTGCCTGTGGCCCGGGAAAGCAGTCAAGGACGGCCCAAAGCTTTAGGACCCTGCACCCACATGGGAGACCTGGAAGAGGCTCCTGGCTTCGGATTGGCATAGCATCGGCCATTGTGCTCACTTGGGGAGTGAACCATCGGACGGAAGATCTTCCACTCTGTCTCTCCTCCTCTCTGTATATCTGCCTTTCCAATAAAAATAAAATAAATCTTAAAAAAAAATTTAAAAAAGAAATCAGCTAATAATATCGGAGAGGTTCCCTTTCGGGGATACATTTCCAGTACCCTATTACTTCCAAAATTCTCTGCCTTTGACTTAAGAGTTATGTTCGGATAGGCTGACTTTGAGCACTGGTTCTAATCTCAGTGCTCTACTTCTAATCCAGATACTTATTAATATACCTAGGAAGGCAATGAAAGATGTACCAAGTACCTGGGACCTTACCACTCATGTGAGACATCACAATAGACCCCTCCATCTGGAAAATGTCTCAGAGGATGGAGGATCTCTTTCTCTCTGCCTTTCACATAAATAAAGTAAATCTATGAAATAATTTTAATGTAATATGTCCTAGTAAAAATCTTTCTAAATCTTTTTGCAAATCGTATTTTCTTATGGATCTCAATGTTCTTATTTTCTAAGTTTAAGAAGTTTTGTGTAATTATTTCTGTAAATAAAGATTTTCCTTTGAGCTTGTATGATGGCTTAGTGAACTGTGTCTCTGCCTGTGGCAGTGGCATCCCATGTGAGTGCTGTGTTCAAATCTCAGCTGCTCCAATTCCTGCATATGGCCTTAAAAAGCAGCAACGGATGACTCGAGTCCTTGGGCTCCTACAATCAAGTGGGAGACCCGAAGGAAGCTCTTGACTACTGACTTTAGATCAACTCACCACCAGCCATTGTGGTAATTTGAGAAGCGAACCAGGGAAGAGATTCTGTGTGAGGGAGGTGGTGGGAGGGCTCATCCTTTCGAAATAAAAATAAAATGCGTCTTTGAAAGTAAATTCCCCCATTTCTCTTTCTCTTCTCGTTATGGAGATTTCATGATACATATATTGGCACAGTTGGTGGTGTCTCACAATTCACTGAGGTTTCTTCATTCTTTGTTGTGCTTTATGTTCCTCTTGCTGAGAAACAATCCATCTCAAACAACCCATCTTTGAGCTCGCCAAGTCTTTCTTTTGCTTGACTAAGTCTACTATAGGAATTCTCTGTGGAATTTTTTGGTCTAGTATCGTTTTTCTTTAATTCGGGATTTATGTGTTTTCTTTTTAAGGGGTTTCATCTGTTTATTGAAATTCTTAACTTTCATATGTATGATTTTCATGCTTCGTTTCAATATATGTTCTTATAGTTCACTATGCTCCTTTAAGATGGTTTATTTTGAGTTATTTTTCAAGCAATTGCAGATGCATTATTCTTTTTCTCTCATGATATAATTTTCCCTGATTATTCATGATCTATGTGACCACATAGTTTAAGGAGTACGCATCTATTCCAGTCTCTTGAAGACTGGATTCCTCAAGGAAAGACTTTCAGTAATGACCTGACCGAAACAATTCTATACTGATCATCTGCTTGGGTCCATGAAGAGGCCTTGCTGCCAGGGTCCTTGGCAGACTGGCCCCAAGAATGAGTCAGCAGATGGATGAGACTGGTGCCTGGATTCATACAAGCCAGTATGGTTCCTGAGTCTACAGATTGGAACTGAACCTGGGTCTATGAAGCCTGTCCAGCCAGGAGACGCTGATGTGGATCTGTTGCCTGGATCTGTGGGAATAGACTGAGCACATGAAACTGCAGTGTGGATCTGAAGCCTGTAGTGACGGGATTAACTGGTGCTGAACTGAGACTGGAACCTAATTACAATGGAATAGGGTGGCACTGAAAAGGGTTGGGTACCCTCGTCAAAAGGAATAAGACCAAAGCTGGAATCCACAGGGTGTCAGTCTAACACCAGAGCAGACCAGAATCCTGAGTCTTGAGCCTGGCTGCCATGCTGGATCCTTGGCCAACAGAGGTTTTGGTCCTGGAAACCAGGTATTCAAGGCCCAGCCAGGTGTGGAGATGAACTATGTAGGGCCTGGATTCACTGGTCATGTCTGCATTTTACAGTATCCTAGGGTTAAAAAAAAATAAGATAAAATTTCTTAAAAAATAATAGAAAATCATCATTACAGTGATGTGTCAGAGTGATTACAAGATGACAGAACCAAGTATTCCACCAAAAATCTGTCATCTGCAAGTAACAAAACCAAATAAAACTACTTCCAAAAGTAAGTTTTTTGATCATGTTAACCAAAATGTGCAAGATTATTTCCAGAAATGGCGTAAATGAATCCAAATACTTCAGTCACACCTAATACCCGTCTCTTCTCACCACAGGAGTTTTATCTTCTGTGATGGCTATATTCTTGAAGAGCTTAGTTTAAATCTGGCCACCAGCAACAACACCTTATCTTCTCACAAGAATGCTAGTGGAGAAAATGACTTCCTCACGCTGTTACCAACAAGGTACCCTAACACTCTCAGGATGCATCTATCAATCAATCTTCAAATATTCTGGGTTGCATCATGCTTTGTTCCTCATGCAGGAGACTAGACTGAATCACTCTAAAACTATATGAAAATAAAGGATAAATGGCTCCTCATTAAAAGTGAAAAACTAGGCCCAGAATGGTAGCCTAGTGGCTAAAACCTCTCCTGTGTGCACCAGGATTCCATTGACTGTTGGTTCATGCCCCAGCTGCCCCAGTTCCCAATCAGCTCCCTGCTTGTGGCTTGGAAAAGAAGCCAAGGACAGCCCAAAGCCTTGGGACCCTGCGTGCATATAGGAGACCTGGAAGAGGCTTGTGTCTTCTGGCTTCAGGCTTCAGATTGATTCAGCTATTTGAGGAGTGAACCAGTGAAAGCAAGATCACTCTGTCTCTTCTTCTCTGTAAAATCTGACTTCCCAATAAAAAATAAATAATTAAAATCTTTTAAGTGAAAAACTTTCACCAGAAAAGGAGAGAAGGGGCTTTGATCACAGCAGTTCACTTATACCCGCTATATTATGAAATGGCAGTATTATGTCTTGGTTTCTGAGGAAGAATTAGCAATGCATTTAGAGAACAGAAAAAAAAACATGGGACCAGAAGACTAAGGTGGTGTTTGATTACAAAGGAAAGTATTTAAATGAGAAATGCACTGAAGGAGAACTTAGTTCCATTCAGAATTCTTTCCACAATGATCTAAGTGACTTTGCTGTGTAATTTGGTATTTCTAGACATGTTTCCTCAACTCTAACAACTAAATGACATCAGTTATATGTTTCTCATCAGCCATTAACTAAGAGCATCAACTGAGGTAAACTAGTTGATGGACAGTTATCTGCTTATCGTACACAATCTTCCTGGTAAGAGAGAAGGAACAGGAAAACACCTACTCTGTTCTCCTTTGCCACAGCCACAGATTTTGTTTTGCGTCCATACATAATAGTATAGGGTGTTCTTTCAGATGCTGAAATTAATTCTAGAGGGAGAAATAAGCTCTTATCAGTACTTATCAACCCTGGCTGTGGGGAGCGGTGCACCAGGAGCTGACCCACACAATGAGGGGCCGCAAGATGGCGGCTGGCCGAGGGCCAGGAGGCGGGATTTGTCCTGCCAGTAGGTAAACAGGAAGTCACAGGGATAAGCTAATATCCCCAGTGCGGTTATGCCATTGCTACCGGCCTATCAGCTAGCGCCCCGTAGACCCACGGGGAGAAGTGATTGGTGGAGAACTATATATAAGCAGTCTGCTTTCAGCAATAAATCTTTTCCTTTGCCTTCCCTTTTTCTTTGCCTGCTTTTCATTCGCTTGTTCGTTTGTGTGTGTGTTTGTGTGTTTCATCCGATGTGTGTGTGCCGGTTGTGGTGGCGGTTCCTGTTTTTCCATGCCCTCGAGATTCCTCGTCATTTTAGTGTCGCCACAGGACAGCGGCACTATATTTCCAATTTACCTAGAGAGTTTATAAAATTAACTCCCCAGGCTCATCCTTATGATATTGAATTGGGTTAAATAATTTGTGTGTTTAGAATCCCATTGAATCTACCATATCCAGATTTGGGGATATAATGCAACATGCATCCATGCTTCCAAATGGATTCCCATTGAACTGTTGATAGTGTGTAGACAATGGGAAACTGGACTGTCTGATATTGTCTGTACCAACAATGTTGGGGTACACTTAAATAAAAGATTGATAGAATTATGATTCCTTATAAAGGACTACACCAATGTATTAAAATGGGGAAAATCTGTCAGGGGGTGAGAGTTTAGGGGGGAATCCCAGCCTGTACAAAATTGTACCACATAATTAAAATTCAAAATAAAAATACATTAAGAAAAGAATCCCATTGTCTTAGCTTTTATTAAGGAGAGATCTCACAGTCACCAATATAAATATTGGTGTTATATTCAGGAGAGGTGTCATCCTTCTAACAAGAATTACAGTTTTATGACATATGTAAGAAATTTCATCTTGATTCTGTCCATTTCAGAAAAATACTCATATCTTTGTAATTTTCACTTAGTATCTAAGTCACCATAATAGCAAAAACACTTTTCATGTATCTTAAGTAATTAATTTTTTTCAAACATTCCCAGAAACTTAGAAAAAACATGATGATACTAAACAGTTCAATATCAATTACATCTTGCACATTTACTGTCCGCATTATATTTGACTATACACTGCTCTATATATTATCAAATTCTTATATTTATGATTCTGTAGTCAGCTTTCATCCTTTTTCTCAAAATACTTTCTTAGGTTAACTTAGCCAATATTTTAATTCTGGGGGGTGGGGCAGGGGAAGGACTATTTAAACATTCATCATGAAATTAGCCACACAAAAAGTCTGGGTTCTGAGGAAATGAAATCTCAGCTGTCTCAGCTGCAGACGTGTTTACCCTAAATAGTTTGGTCATTCTTACTTCCTTCTTTTCTGTGTGAACGTGTGCTCTGGGTTTGTCAGGAAATAGTTAACTTCAGAGGATGACTGTTCCTGAAGACTGTGGGAAGGGGTTTCTGAGAAAGCTAAACTGAGAAGTAAATACAACATTTCCTTTCCACCAAGATAAGAAAATAAACAATAGGCACATACACGCACACAAATACAATTAGAACTGACATGAGATGTGTTTTGAGAAGAAGTTAAGAAAATGCCTATTTTGGACAAAATAGCAATAATCTCCAAATACCAAATAAATTCTAACTTGATTGTACAAAAGAAAATGAAATTTAAAAATATATTCCTCTTCTATGCTAGAGCATAATAAAAATGGTTCATTACTTATTGGGTATTCTTTTTGCAAGACTATTTGAGCCAAAAATCATATTTTAATACACTAACTTGCTCACACATTGATTTTTGTAAAAAGATTTCTTTTGTCTATTTGAAAGGCATATTTACAGAGAGAAGAGATGGAAATAGGGAGAGGTCTTTCTACTGTTCAAATGGTCACAATGCCATAAATGAGCTGATCTGAAGCCAGAAGCCAGGACCTTCTTCTGGGTCTCCCACATGGGTGCAGGAGCCCAAGGACTTTAGCTGTCCTCCACTGCCATCCATAAACAGGGAGCTGGATCAGAAGTGGTGCAGCCAGGATAGAACCAGTGTCCATATGGGATGCTGACAGCACTGCAGGTAAAGGATTAGCTCACTGAGCCACCATAACAGGTCCTTCACATATTAATTTAATAAGAAATTTAGTTTGTACTATGTCACAGAGGACTTAATACTTACCTGAGAAAGTTTTGGTAGATTCTACAAAAATCAAGATCAGCTCTACAACAGTTTTTTTTTTTTTTTAATGTAGTTTTTCTGAGACTAGGAAGTTACTATAGTCCAATAAATCAGAAGAGGACCCAAAAGTACTTCAAGATCCCTCCTGACCAATTTCATACATGCTGTTTCATGCACAATGTGTGTATAGCACATGCTTGTATTCGTACAGCATCTCCTCTGTGTTCAGTCCTGCCCTCATGCAAGCTTAGAAACAACAGAAACAGCTCAGGTTCATCCCTGCTTTCTGAAGTTCCATACTAGTGAGCAGATGGACAGGAAAGAACCCTGTGTGCAACAGAAGCCACAATACTTGCAAAGCCAAGTGGTAGGACAACTGGGAGGGCAACTAGTTTTGCTCTTTCAAGGCAGTGAAGGCACTGTAGGGGGTGTGGAAAACAAAAGACACGTCATTATGCCTAGCAAAGTGTTGGTGCAATTGTGAAAGTAAGCGTGGTCAGTTTGGGTTGAGTAGCTCTGAATGATGTAAGAAAAAGTAAATAAGAGAAAAGGCCAAGCAGAGCAAAATCAGTAAAAGCAGGAGAAGGGTGTGGTAAGAAATGAGGTGGGGCCAGATGAGGAGGGTGAAATGATTCAAAGTGTGAAGCAAGTATTTGCTCTGAAAAGGCTTCCCTGCATGTTACCGGGAAGCTAGAGTGGGCAGTCATGCTGCAGTTCAGAAATTTTCCTCCAGTGTCAGTGTTGAAGTTGAATTAAGTGAAAAAATCTGAAGCTAAAGGAACAATTGGAAGATTCTTTATATCTTAGAGAGAAACAACAAATATTTACAAAACAAAACAAAACAAAACAAAAAAACAAAAAACAGTACCAGTAGGAGTAGGGGAGAATGGGATGAAGATTTGAGGCAACCCATCTGGGGTGGAGGTGCAGGGAGGATGGTAATCATGAATGACTGGCAGGGTTCCAGGGAGCATTGCTACATGGATGGTGGCCCCTGCACTAAACGTTACAGGAAGTAAAGGCATGACAGGTATGGAGAAGGGAAAGACGCTGAGTCCATCATCCTAAATTGGAGGAGCCTGTAGAACCTCCTTAAGAGATTTCCACATATGGAGGGGTGGGTCTGGGTGAAAACACAGCTGGGAGAAGGGGGGCTGGTAGTGCTTTTTGGAACATTCTTTGCACAGGTGGCATTCACAGCTATTAGAAAGAATAATATTAGTCAGAAAGCTTCATAATGTGAAAGAAATTCTGAGGATCAATGAGAATAAGCCAGTAACCTCTCTCTTTCTCTCTTTCTTTCTCTCTCATCTCCATAGACAGCACCAAATGAACACAGCGAGAAAGGTAGCTATCTGCAAGGGAAAAGCCTCATTTGGAATCAAATCAGCAGTAATAAAAAGTATGCACTGTAATAAAAAAGAAACTACTGTTTAAGCTGCCCTATTTGTGGTATTCTGTCATGGAAGTCTGTACAGACCAAGACAATACCCTGAGACTCTGATCCGATGTCTCACGCTCTGATAACAACCTCTGTGTTCTCAGCTCCATATCCCTTTTTTCCATCATTAGTGCTTTCTTGCTTCACCCTTTGTGACATTTCACCTTTATTTTACCACCATTTATCAGTCACTTAGTTTCGCTTCATTCTCTGTCCAATCAATAGGATCTTATCTTTCTCTTAGGCTGTAATAGTATTGGCATTAGTAACCTTATTATTGTTGAAAATCAGCCAGTTAGTAAAATTCCAGGCCCAATGCATCCAACTGTAATTCATCTCCACTACTCTGTGTGGACTATTGCATCACATGAAAGTTGGTTCCACAGTCCCTTATCCCAAGTGGCGCTTCAATGTTCCACTGCTCTATTTTCCTCTGACTCAAGTAAGTGGCATCTTGCACCTTACACTTTAATATTTACAAAATGTCTCCCTTTCTTCAAGTCACCAAGGGATTCTTCTCACTCTCTACAGAGGTTTGTTGTTCGATTCAAAAAGAAAATTCCCATAAATCATTCCTGTCTAAACCCAACAAAAATATTCTGTTTCAGGTTATCACATTTATTAGATCTCAACTAATGAATCATTTCATCTTCTAACCAAAACTAACCATATCATACTCATAATTATGTGTAATTCTCTTTTGCTTCCTCAAGACCTGCTGTCACTTTCCCACAAGTTCTTTAACCCTTGGTTTCTGAATGTGCTCAACGATGTCTATATCTTAGAAGACATGATGTAACCCTCTCTCGACTCCCACCTAGCTATGGCCCCATATTTGTATCCATTTGCACATGAATGAGATCATAGCTCAGCCTCATTATCTCTAATTCCTTTACTCCCACACTTATCTCATGGATAATCAACTTCAGGACTCACCTCTTCCCTGGAAAGACTCAGGCAAATAGTATCAGTGACATCAGGGGATGATCAGACTTAGTCTTTTCCGATTTCAATATTTCACACTTTTGGATATTTTCTAGATTTATTTGAGTGAGAGAGAAAGAGGAGAAAGAGAGAGACAGAGAGAGAGAGACAGAGAGAAATCTTTCCTCTCTCCTAAATTCTAGACACCTATCCTTTCTGTTTCATTTCTCTGGCCAATTTGTTTCAGGCCACACGAGGTTCCTCTATTCTCTCTAACTGGACACCTCCCTGGATCATTCCCTCAACTCTCATCTCTATTTCACTCTCACCACGTAGTTTCCAACCCCGATTTAATTTTGGAATTACTTTGGAAATTTGTTTTTTAATGATCAACATCCAGTCTGTTATCTCAGAGGTTTTGTTTCACTTGATCTGAGGTGGACTCAGAGATCAATACTTAAGTCAAAGCAAAATAAGTTTAGCACTAATGTTTCTAAAGCTCAATCATAGTTAAGAAGCACTACTCTGAAGAATTGACCTGAGTAATTATATTTGTAGCCATAAGTGTGACTACTGTCCAGCATCAGCTTTAGAGCAGACGGCATAACAAGGGTAATATTTGAAGACACAGATGAGCACAGATTACAGAGAAAGGTAAGTAGACAAGACACAGAACATAAGTGATTTCAGAGTGAATTCATGTGGCAAATTTTATTTTCAGTATTTAGAGATATACTGACCATTGTGTATACCTCACTCGGTAAACATTAAAGTAATGTAAGTGCAATAGCTTGGAAAGATAGCACCTCATCCATTATTTAAAGAAAAACTGTCCAAGGGTTTCAAAGTCGTGTGTATCATACTGCTATGCTTGTTGGACTTTCCATTTTTTCAACTATTAGCAAAAAGACAATGCACTGGTTGACTCATGCTCTTCACTATACTCATCTTCCTTCACTCCACTCCACTTAAAAATGCTTAATTCCCTGTATCTGAATTCACATAGTAAAAATATTCACTCATTAAAAAATCAAAACAAACAAACAAAAACACATTGGTGGGAACTGAAGTTGGGGGACAAGATGAGTCTTCCACTTGGGAGGACCAAATCCTGTAGCTGTGTGCAAATGTGACTGGGAAGCAGTAAATTTGGGCAGACTTGGAAATGATACTCAGCTCTGGCCTTCACCTGGCACTCACCAACTGTGATGGGCAGCTGACGTGTGAATCAGCAAGTAGAAGATGCCTTCTCTCTCCTTCCCTCCTCTTCGCTCTGCCAATTCAGAAGTGGAAGTGAGTAAATAAACCTTAGAAAACAACTTTGTGGCCCCCAGTGTAATTGGCTGTTTGATCTCACAAGAACAGAATGACTCCTCCACTAGCACCATAGCCTAATGCCTACTGGGACTCTCAAGCTATAGCAACTGTTTACTATGTAACTACCAGTTACTTTATATCAGGTAATAAATGTCTTCCAAAATACTGCCAAAGAAAATATGTGTTTTTTTTCAATAAATATATCATCTAATACTTCTAGTTGCTTTGAATCCCATACCTGTCAGAAAGTGTATGCTAAGCACTATGTATGATAAAAGGTTCTCAAATCTGCAGTTCTATTTCACTTTCTATTGTAACAGCTTCAGATTACTCTACTTTGGGAATGCTGAAAAAGTATCTGAATATCCCTTAGACAGTTCACTCTTAAAGCTTCCAAAAATTAATAAAGCATCATTTTGTCCCACAAAGTTCCCTACTTAGGTGATTAGCACAACCAGTAACACTCAGTTCCAGGCTCTGCACAGGTTTCTCCTCCTTCAGTACCATCATTCCTCCCTAGAACCTTGGTCTCTTTGATCTCTTTCTCATCTCATTTGGAGGAGATGAGAACTGGGGACACAAACCCCAAGACACTTTTTGCTATTTTTAACTATTACTCTTATAATTATTATTACTAGTTTTTAATGCACATATTCATGTGGGCTCTTTAGCATTCTAATAAGTCTTTATTGAAGCAAATATAAAATAAAAATTCTTTAGCATAGCCACCTGATTCATGGAACCTGTGCTCTGTGTCTCTAAGGTCATCTTTTACCTTTTTGTCCCCTCAGTCACCGCCCCACACCAAACAAGGCCTTTTGCATTTTCTTAAACATGTCAATGTTGTTCCTGATTTGGAGTCCTGGCATTTGTGTGCCCTTTTCCAGTCGTCACAGGTTTCATTTCTTTTTGCTCTTCAAACCTTCGCTCAAAGGCTTCACCTCAGGGAATTCCTCTGTGTTCATTATGGAAAACATGGCATAACTTCCATCACCATCGCATCAGTGTGTTCCATGTTGCATATAACATGCATCAATCACTTTTAAATATTGACTTCCTTAATTTTTTTGTCTTTCTCCTCTCAATGAAACAGGAAAGCTGCCTTTACATTGACTGGTTTATTTCCAAGAGCTAGAACACAGCTGGTACCAAAAAATACTCAATCACTTAAAGAAAAAAGAAAATAACTAGTCAGTGCCATGCTGTCCAGTGAGCATTGGATTTCATATTCAAAACGTTTTCAGGGAGCAGAGGGAAGAGAACATCAAGAAAAAACCGTCGGTTTGAGAATACAGCAGCCTTCCAGTGTCTTTTCATGGGTGATTGGGTAAGAGGTGTGCCGAGCAGGAAACAGTTGGGTGCAAGAGGTCACACAGACTGAGAGAAAATTGTCAGTAATTGTTTTGAAATCTTGCTCTGAGTCCTCTAGTTGAGAAGCACTGCCTCAGGAAGCATGTATGTGTCATGTGTTTGTCACTTAATTGCATCATCGCTGATGTTGTAATTTGACTCTTGAATGTACATGTATATGCCTGCTCTAGACAAGTTGTGTTGTATGGCGCAAAAATCATGGACTTCAGAATAACAAGACTCAGATCCCCAGTCATTAATTATTTCTGTAAGCTTGCGAAAGCATCATAGATGCCTAACCCTACTTTATAATATGCTCCTTGTCCACCAAACCAACTGGAACACAAAACCGTGCCCAATACTAATATTATTTCAGTTCAATGATTTGACCTACCTCTTCTTACTGTGAGACCACAATCAGCTTTTTTTCGTGGTGTCCCTTATTATGTGTTCATTATTTCTTTTCCGTTCCCTAGGTCAATTCTTAAAGAAGATGTTGAGGAGTCTGGCACAATGGCTTGATTGAGTAATCTTTCACCTTTCAAGTGTCAGCATCCCATCCAGATCCTGGTTTGTGTCCCAACTGCTCCTCTTCCCATCCAGCCTCCTGCCCATGGCCTGTGGAAGAGGCAGAGGACACCCCAAGACCTTGGAACCTTGCACCCACATGGGAGATACAGAAGAAGCTCCTGGCTTCAGATCAGCTCAGTTTCAACCATCATAGCCATCTGGGGAGTGAAACAACAAATGGAAGATCTTTCTGACTTTTCCTTCTCTCTATAAATCTGCCTTTCCAATAAAAATAAGCTGGTTTTTTGAAAAGAAAAAGGAAAAAAAAAGATTCTTCATTTCTCCATCTCATCTTTCAAGTTCTTATCCTACCTATTGTTCACCCCTGTATTATACCCATGGCAAGAAATTGAAAGGTTTGTTAATTTTTCTCCAACAATTTCTTAAAGACAAACTACTAATACACAACAAATTCTTTAAAAAGAAACATCATCTTTGATGCAATTATACTTTTATACTTTTAATCTTAATAATTTATCCTAGTTGCAAACCGGGATATGTAAGAATATACAAAGATGTACAAATTGGTGCTGAATTAGTTGTAAAACAAAACAGAGCAATAACAAAATGCTACAAAATAAATAATCATTAACAGGAAGAGGTCAAGAAATTCATGGAACATCCAATGATAGGAACATCATAGATGTAAACTATGCACCATATATGGTGAGAGGACGTTGAACATTCTTGAAAAGTGTTCTAACAGACAATAATAAATTCCTCTCTTAGGGAAATTATAAAATAGTAGCGCAATATTATAAACACACCCAAAAATATATAATATATTCAACAGACTATTAAGATATGCTGAAATGTTAATTACAGATATTCTTAGCAGTAATACAAAGCAATATTTTCAGAAATTATTTTGCTCCTAAATCATTTTCTATATATTTAATTTTATATAATGTTTATATGCTACTATTCAATAGTCATAAAAATATAAACTTTGTTAATCAATGAATTCATTCTTTAAAAAAATGATTTTTACTGACCTAACTTATTTAATCATAAGTTAGAAATATTACTACTACATTCTTTTCTCATATTCTTTCATGTGAAGCTTAATAGAAACACTATTAAACTCTAAAATCAAAGAGTTGAATTGTTTTTTCCCTAGGTTGTTAAAACTTTTAAGGAAAATGGCAACACCTAGCATTTCTTTTCATTAGTGTCTTATAAGATCCAAAGTAAGATGGTGGCCAAGAAAGAGTTGTTAATAAATCCTGCTTTAATCTGAACTCTCTGAAATTCAGTTATGCAAATAAGCACTTATCATATCCATAGACTTAGCAAGGAGAGAAAAAAAGAGGTAACTTTTTCAGAGACTATTCAAAGTGAGAGCATTCATACCTGCTTACTGAGAATTGCTTGGTACAACAGCGATTGTTTGTGTTGATGTTTTAACATTTGAGGAGGCTGAAATTTGCAGAAGCAAATTTACTGAGATCATGGAAGTAGAGTATATTTACAATATTATCTACCATTTCCAATGGACCCTTCCTTATATGTAAGTTATATAATCCTAATGCATTGACTCAGACTAGGCTATGGACCTTATTCAGACCAACAGCACTACCTACCACCCAAGACATCAGCAATGTCTTCCCAAATCATGATTGACTTCTCATCTTGACATCTAGAACAAATTCTATGGGACACAGTTAGAGCCAACCCAGTAAGTTATAGAAATGTAAATGACAGGGGTGGGAGCAGTGTTGTAGCATGGCAGTGATGACCCTCCCACTGTGCCGCTGCCATCCCACTTGGGCCCCAGTTTATGTTCTGGCTGCTTCATTTCCACTCCAGCTCCCTGCTTATGGCCTAGAAAAGCAATGAAAGATGACTCAAAGCCTTGCACCCCTGAACTTTCCTGGGAGACCCAGAAGACCCACTGGCTCCTGGCTCCTGGCTCCTGCCTTTGAATCAACTCAGCTCTGGCCATTGCAGCCATTTGGGGAGTGAACCAGCCAATGAAAGACCTATCTCTCTGTCTTTCCCTGTTCTGTCAAATCTACCTTTTAAATAAAAACAAACAGTAAAAATATTTTCAAACATATATGAAAAATAAACCTTTCTTTACAGTGGCTGAGATTTGGCAGCTGAACATCCCAACCTAGCCTATCAGCACAGATCAGATAGTAACAGATGAGGATGAAACTCAGCCATGGGTCTGCTTGACTGCAGTATCTGTCACACCATCTTCTCATAAACGTTCCATTGTCATGATGAGAACAACATACAACAACAAAGCAACAGCTTTTATGGAATAGAAATATCCACTGAAGTGTAACTGAAAATAACAGCATGTTACTATCTGCTGAGCATGGCCACTTGCTGCCATAGAGACCCAATCTTTGATATATACTGCTCATGTCTTCTAAAATCCTGGCAATCTCACTCTACTCTTCAAAAAGTTTGGAAGCTGAAATTTATTAATAGCTGGAATATTATAGTAATAAAATTGATAGGCAAATCTAATCAAATTCATTCCTCTTTGACCTTGATGCTCAAGAACACGTACATCTGTATAAGCATGCCATCTTTTGAATATCACTTGAAGCTGATATCTGTCTACCTTTTCAAACAGTCATGTAGAAACTCCCTCTCCTGCAATCAAATCACTGAAGATAAAATACAGATTAAAATCATGTGTCCTATTTCTTCTTCATTTTATCATCACTGAGTACTCAGCAAAATTTTCTCTTCTAATCTCTTATCCTCTTATATCTTAGGACTTTAAAAATATTATACTACAATACTTAGTAATACTGAGCTGTAATTTACATACAGTGAAATTTAAAGAAATGTTGTTTAGACAAACAAATGAAATTTAACATACATTATGCTCCAACATAGCATGTTCATAATGTAGAATATTGTCACCAATTTCAAAAAGCTTCTTCACAGTCAGTGACACTTACTCATCTCCACAGGTTGTTACCATTCTGATACCTATCATCCCAGTGATGAGTTTGACCTCTCCTTCAATTTTATATAAACAAAAATCAAAGCTCACTTTTTCAGGATTTTTTTTTTTTTGCTCAACAATTTCCTCATTGTATTAGGGATTTATTCCTTTTGTTGTGGAGCAATGCACAGTCATGTACCACTTAACTCTAGGAATGAGTTTCAAAAGTGTGTTGTTAAGCGATTTCATCACTACATGGACATCCATAAATTACCTACCCTAAAATGGTTACAATGCCATTTGGCAATATACTCATAAGGGGTCACTATTATATATTCAGTCCCTTCTTGACTAAAATGCTCCTAAATGACACATTATTTCTGTATGTATGAGCTTTTGCATTATTTTTTTTTACACTTTAGGCTAATGCGAACAAAAACACTATGATTAGTCTCATAAACATCTTTTCTTGAGTGAGTATTTAAAAGCAATCAAGTAGTCATGGGACAAATGTTTTTATTAGAAACTATCAAACAGCATTACAAAGAAGTGTGTCATTTTATATTTTCACCAGCAAAGAGATGACAATTTCAGTTGCTCCTCATAAGGAGGTTTGTAGTGATGTTTCATTATCTTCCTGCCTTTCTGGAATCTGTAAACCAATCTGGTTTAGTTGATGGCAAATGTCACATAATCCCTGTGTTCAGATTGTACAGTGATCATGTTTGCATGCATTATTTTGTAAGCATTAGAAGCTTAGGATAGATTTGCTCGCAGAGATCAGAACAAAAAAAAAAAAAAATTACCATATAAGCCCAGTAATCAGAAACGGACATCTTGTGCACTTAGGAAAACAGTTGGGACACCTGCATTCCATCTTACGTGCAGAACCTGAGTCTAGGCCCCAGCGCATTAGCCTAGTGGCTAAAGTCCTCATGTTACGTGCCAGGATCCCATATGGGCGCTGGTTCATATCCCGCTGATCCATCTCCCATCCAGCTCCCTGCCTGTGGCCTGGGAAAACAGAAGAGGATGGCCCAAAGCTTGGGACCTTGAACCCACATGGGAGACCCAGAAGAAAACCCTGACTCCTGGCTTCGGCTCGGCTTAGCTTCACCATTGCAGCCACTTAAGGAGTGAACCAGTGGATGGAAGAGCTTGGTCTCTCCTTTTCTCTGTAAATCTGATTTTTCAATAAAAATAGAACCTGAGTCTGAGTAACAGCTCTGTCCCTAATTCTTCCTCTTACAGCAGCACATCCTTGGAAGCAAAGGTAATGGCTCAAGTGGTTGAGTCCCTGACACCTGAGCAGCAAGCCTAGACTGAGTACCTGA